AAATGTGCGTGCGCGGATCAACTTTTGCAGGAGAAAAGATGTATGTGAGCTTCCCAGGAGTTCTAACAGAAAAAAACCATCTAAGCAGCCAGATGAACGCTACTATTAAAGCGATTGTACTAGGAGCCTTGACCGTTACTAGCGATAAGATGACATATGATAATTTTGGTATAAACCTATGAAGGGTTATTTCGAAAAGACGAACAGTGGCGTGCATATTTTTCTACAAGAGGACGGATACGAAGGCGATGAGGGCCTGAGCTCGTATTGGCGTTTCTAGCATTCAATAAGCTATTGTGTGTGCGGATTAAAAAGTAGGCGAACGTCATTACTGCTCGGCCCTTTTCGGAGAGCTGTTACAAGGCCAAACTATTCGTTCACTTATTTCTCACAACATAGCTTTTTTCACACATTTTTGTCCATGAGTCAGCTGGTGATCTCGAAGTTACGTTATCGCTCGATGAAGTCGTGTTATTATCCAACTTGTTGGCGTCACAGTTCCGGAGCAGCGATCATATAGACACAGAAGTAACTATCCAAACTATCTACTGTACTATGTATAAATACTGCTTATCGCTATCAAGCTGGCATTAGATGGGCGCAGGAGATAACAAAAAAAAACTTGCGATTAATATATATGTGAGAGAACGTGCTAATAACAACTATCTTTTGGATATGAAGAGAGTATCCTTTGCCATTTTGATTACATATGCTTTAGACATAATGAGAACTTCATCAACAAATGTGACGCCATAAGACAACGGGTAAATGTTAAAAATCTCTAGTAAATTTGGAGGCGGCCGCACGATATATTTATTATAACATACATACAAGCCTCTCATTTGAATGTTATTAATTTGCAATGACTAAGGGTACCACAGATGTCTTGCACAAAAAAAAATTGGGAAATCCTACTCTTTGTAGACTTTCATCTAATTCAGCTGAGTCAATAAAATCGAGAGCTGCCACGGTGTAAACACATATGTTAGCTTCACACGCCTGTGATGAACCAAAAAAATAATCAAACTTCAGTCTCATACTCAAACAATTATCTACCTATTATTTTACAGTATTATTACTTAATTATATTATAATTATATATCATATATATATAGTGGTTACCTAACAATTAAAATGTAACGACAATAGGCTTTAATATTCAAGCGTCACCTCAATTAATATAAAAGCAAGTAATAAAACGCTAGAATAAAAGTAGAGGAAGGTTCTTCCCATGCAGAGAATGATCTCGCACAGACCGAGGGCCCCTTGAAAAAGCAGGGCCAATAAACCGCTAAACAGCCTTCATAATAGTCGCGTTCCGAATGCTATTAGAACTTTCGGAGCATCAACCCCTTAATTTACTGGATCGACGTAGCGTATATCATAAAACGAACTTTGCGTCGTAAGCTGACGTGCGACAGCTTGAGTTCTGCAACACAGCAGCGTCCAATATAAATATAACTACCAACGAAACGTCAGGAAGGCCACGTAAGCAAGTTTTCGTTTGTAGCCCTCGCGCTATGAAATCAAGAGCTGGTCGGATGAAATAGATCAGTCTCGGAATTTGCTATAGGCTTTCAAACCCATGGTTACAATAAGTGGCGTTAAGAAAGCATTAAAAGGGTTTCAGACAAATCCCTTTTAAATCTGCCTTCAATGGGTTATCTAGAGTTAAAATTCACTAATGAGTGAATACATTGTTTTTTTCCTTGATTTTATGTAGGAATGCAAAACGGTTGCTAAATCCATCTGCTTTCATCCTTAGCTCTGATCCAAAGAGACGCCTGTTGTACTAAATTCGAAAATCGTACATTGGCAGATCACTGATCGACGCAAAACGCTCTGATTTCGAAATTATACAAAAGTGTCTGTTGTCGTGATTCATTTCATGCAAAACTACTATTCATTCATTTATAAGTTCGAATAACATACAGTCACCCCCTAGTGAACGTACAATAAGCAGGTACATCATAGTCATTCTTAAAGACCAACAAATAGAGCATCATACCATAATGCAAGTGTTTCATAGCCTGTTAACATTTGACGTTTAAAATCTTGTAAAAGACACTAGCAAAAAAGCGGACAACTCTATTTATTACTTGGCGAAGGTGAGTTCGTTCTCAGTGGTTACCTCGTTCACTTTTGATCAAGTGAAGCCAAAAAAAAGTCGAACGTAATACCACCGTAACTGTAGAATTGTTGAAACCGTCGAGGCTGAGCCATTTTGATCCGAAGAAAAACTTCAGTGTGACTGAACGAACTGTGTATAACGGTTCAAGTCTCACCTGAAACCGCAGTCTCGACATATGAAAAATGGGTTTTTCGACATGGGTCTAGTAATGGTGTTTTGAGAGTTCAAGCTAAAGTAGGGCTGAATGAATATGCCAAAAAATTAGAAAAAAAAAACGGATTACGTCAGGTAATAATTCCATGGATTGAAAATTTTCGGCTGTTTTTTTAGCCAATTGTTAATGGTAGCCCAGGAAACTTGGGTCGAAAACTTTCAAACGATTGCCTCTTTTGTTCTTGAAATGTGGTTGTCAGCAGCGGATGTTAGATTTTCAAAATAACATCATTGCTGTCAAGTATTTTTTCAACATTATCTCCATGACTTTTAAGTTGTTCGCAAACTATGTGTATTACGTGCCACTAGCTTAGATATGATTCACACTCTATATGCACATTAGTAGTATTCTCGCCAGCATTATTTAACGTTTAGAAAAATGTAGTTTTCTGTCCCCCCTCATTATTCCCCTATGTAACCCTCACGTATCTCGTTTCTACTGTTTTTGTTGAACGTAGTTGAAATACAACTGGTAACAATTAGCAATACACTCTATCTGTCAGCTATTTGCACACACCGAAATTGACGGCATCTATCGCTCTGAAATGTACCGGTCGACCATTTGCTAGTGTAAGGAATATGGCGTGTGCGGGTGTGTTACCTTTGGACCTGTGCAGTAACTTTGCTATTTTATTCATTTCATGGGTAAGCTTGTTCACGACCACAATATTAAACGCATTTTAGAACGGGTACCGCAGCTTCTGTAGCAGACGCCCCAGCGACACACGATAAAAGCGAGCTTATGCTGTCTAAGTTGCCGGACACGGCAAACTCGCCCTCCAGCATTAGTCTCCAGTCTTTTTTTCCGCCGATCAACCATCCAGTTACTCGCCTGTAAAACAGTATGATATAAGACGAATAAAGCTGAGCAGCTTGCAGGACACCGGATAAGACAGGAGGCAAGAAAAAGTTCAGAAGGGGGAATAGCAGTGGCACCATTTCTGGGAACTGGATAGAGTTGAGAATGGGTGGTGATGGACAGAGGGATAGACGGAAACCATAGCAGCCAAAGCTTTCGTTACTGCTGCGGGTGGTCGAGCGGTTAGGAGAAAAGTGCATTTCTGTCCTTCCCTCCTTTCTTTCTTACGATGCTTCTTCCTCTTCCACTTTTTTCTCTCTTTGGGCCTAATTTCTTACCAACGTATCTTTTTGACGCACCTCCCTTTCCACCTCCGGCGCACCGCCATTCCACCATCAGTGCCAACAACGTCGTCTTCGGTGGCGTAACCATCGTTTCTCTATTACTTGCCCTTTTCTTTGTCGTCTCTTTCGTCTCCGTTCAATCTCCGGGCTGGCCGGGCGAACCAGACGCAGACCTATTTGACAGCTTTAGCACACCTCCAATACCCGTAAACACGGAGACACACAGGCGCGCTCTTATCTGCTGCCCCATCGTTCTTCTTTCTCCACTCAGTCTCCACTTTCTTACTTGTTCCCAGCGTTCCCGTCGCCTTGCAGTAACGCTGAACAGCGAATTGGTGACCGGCAAAAACGCTTACTGAAAGACAGAAACTTCAAAAAGTGGGAAGTAAGAAGGGGTGTAGCGCGCGAAATGAAAGGCCGCAGGCCGTTGAACACAGAGGGACGAGTGGGCAGGGAAAAATGCGGGAGCCCCAAGAGTACCCTAAAGCATCTCTGAAAGGCTAGGCGTCGGACGGAAAGGACTATGGCAGGAAAAAACGTCTTAGAGAAGTGTTTTGGAGTGTCCCATCGCCGCTATCATTGTTGCCGGTTTGCTTAGAAGAGTTGGACGCGGCGGGTCTGTTTTCTTCGTCGCTTACTCGTTAGCATTTTTGTTGGCGGAAGAGATGAAGTAAAAACAAGATGAAGGACTTCGTTTGTCCTGCAACTACGGCGGCACGAACGGCAGAAACAACAACAACAACAATAAGGGGGACGCAAAATAAGCGCAAATAACGAGGCGATGAAATGAAAAGAAAGGATTGTTGTCCTTTGAATAGAAAAAAATCCCGAAGAGCGGAAAAGTCAAAACGAAAATAAAGAGCAAGTTCAAGAGGACGGGTAAAGCTCTCACGCTTCGTATAACTCAGACTTCACTGCTGACTGAACGGGATCGGATGACGAGGTTGAATTTGCTGATAAGACCACACCACTGGGCAACTCCCGAAAGCAAATTTTGTTCTGAAGTTTAGGTTAACTCGTGACTAATGGCAGGTCAGACCTAAAATGATATGAAAGTACTCCTTACATATAAACTGACGGGGTTTCCATTTTTATAGTGATGGTAGTATAGTTACGAGAAGAATCTTAGTAAGTCGTGTGCGTAGTATTCTAGCTAACTAGTATTCGTATTTAAACGAATGTGAGGACAACTCAAGGCGTTCTGCCTGGATAGCACTATTTAAAAAGCTAGCAATAAATGCATTTATAAAGGTACGTGTTATATCGTACGGCCGCAATTTACTTCGGAACTAGTAACAACGGTGATACTTCACAGACGATTAGTCAGTCCAGAATAGTTACTTTTAACTCTGTTGCAAAAGAACCCGAGACGACCATTACGTAATTTGAAAAGGCATATATGCGAACTAGAAGATGCGATAGGAGCCAGATTACGCATATTGTACTCTTGATTGCCGCGTTTCAATTTAACTAAAGTCTCTGCTTAACGCTTAATGTTTTTTTTTGTTCACAGCTGTTGAGATGGGCCAATCGGGTTATCATGCACTCATAATGGAGAATACCCGATCTGTGACCGTGATGCCTCCACTGTCTGTAAGCTCGGGACAGGCATGTTCGTTTGAACTGGGTTGGGAACGATCCTCGGGTCGGGAGGATGACCCACCTTTTGCCGTCGACGATAAGGAACCTCAAGAGCCAAAAATTGTTCCCACTAGAGAGCCAAATTGCGAGTTGCAACGGTAAGCACATGTCAAGCTAAATCAAATTCATGTAGAGGTTATCAGTCCACTGCTTTACCTCTTCGCATATATAACTTAGTTAAAAGGTCATAATGAGTTAAATTGTGGTTAATCTCGAGATGTTACTGGGGTCAAAATACATCCAAATGCAGTTCTCTTTGCATATGAGAAATATCAGCACAACTTTTCGTTTTGTCAAAACTTTTCGTTTGGAGGAGACAATTAAGAAGATCTTTTTTCTTGCTGAGTTGTCGAGTACCCAGAAGTTTCACTGTCTCAATTTTTTAAAAGCAGAGAGTTGAGACCTCCCAAGTGATGGCGCCTTTGCAGCTCCTGCGCTTTACAGGTGATTTCCGCCACCCATTTAGTCGCTCACTCACCATAGTGACTGGTTGCCTAGAACGTAATCGGCATTCTGTCTGCGGCAAACCCACAGTAAGAAGTGCGCAGAATATATTACGATAGGCAAAACCGCGGAATCGAGAGAAAGAAACCAGGCGGTTTTCGTCTGCTAGAGTAGAACTGTGCAAGTAAACTAATTGCATTATCAGTTTGAAGGAGTAAGGATGTATTTTGAAATAAAGACAAAATAGATATACAACCATTAGTATATAGTAGGATACTAACGTAACGAGAAACCGCCGGTGTCCTCAAGACCTCACTGATACCGTTTGGCTGCTTTATAGAATTTAACTTTCACGTGCTGTTTGCTTGTAAATAAAAGAACGCGAACGCAGTGAAAAGAGAATGCCCTATATCGAACAGTATCAGACTTTTATTGACCTAGTTGGTTATAGAAAGTTTCATTTCATATTAAAGGCCATAAGCCAAAGCTCGGTTAGAATTTGAGCTAACTGTGAGTTTGAATCTGCGGCTTTCGACCTCAAAATCAGATACGTTATTTACGAAAGCAATCAGGACACAGCAAATGAATAGGTCACACCTAGGGGGCTTACCTCACAGTAGCAGATGCTACTGATGCAGATGTTATCCAGCCTTATCCAGTAAAGCTAGTTAATTATCTAGTAATCGGTTACTGACCGAAGCTAATTGAGATTGAATTATACCTGATACAGTGCACATAATCACCTGGAATGGTTTACTTCAGGTATTATCGGCTGCAACTTCTCGCTTACGATTGTGAACCCAGCAAACCCGTTGGAAAGTAAGTTTTCTTTGTGATTTTCTTTATGCATTATCTTCCCATATTTGTATTAAGATCTATGAAGGAGAGAGAAAGAGGGAGAGTCGACAATTCCTAATTTGAAAATACTTGATTGTGTCAGCTTAGGTAGAAGTGAAGCTTTGAAGCCACATTCCCGTTTCGTCCCGTCATATCGCGAAGCCCGTTTCAACGGTGTAAAAGTAAAATCGGTCATTTAAAAATAGCTAGAGAAAAATGTGTGAGAAAATCATTTTTATTTATCGAAAAGATCATTTCGTGCAGGTTACGGACTGCTAAGTGCATACAGTGTGCAATTCGAACAAACAATAGAAGTTAACCAATACTCGTACGAAAACGTCGTGCAAGCATGCATTGGACAAATGCAGACGACAGCTATAACGTCCAAAACACCCAATGTGTTAGTGTTTTCGGGCTGTTTATGTTAGCCAAATTGTTAACGACATGTTCTGATGTCTCTAGTGCCACGGTACACATCACAGTCGAAGACGAAAACGAATTCGAGCCTGAGTTCACTGAAGGCGCTTATCAGGCAACGGCTCGCGAAAATCACATGCACACATCGCCACCAATCCTGCAGGTAGGTGCCCGTACTAACAAGGCCTTCGTAGCTTTCGATTTGCAGGCGCGAGCTAGCGAACTGATGGACAACAAGCTCCGACTTTATACCCGCACTAAAATTCGAGTAATAGACACTATCAAATTTTTATCTAGTTATAAAGAAAATATTACATTTACCATTAATACACGAACAATATATAGCGCCGATATTCATTTATGAGCGTTTGTGCGTACTACACATGTGTCCTTCGCATTCGGGGCTGCCATCAAACATTGATTTTGACGACTGATGCCCAACACAAATCGAGGTGCTTTATGGCAACTTTTGTAATTAGGTTAGATTTTGTCCTTACTAGAAAAACGACGTAACACTACAACATTACAGGCCGTGAGTGTCTGCACACTAGCCGGTATACGATATTGCTACTTCTGAGACAAATAAGTAGGTGCCTTGCTGTAACAATCTAGGTAAACTATCTTTTGTCCAGATATCTAGATATTTTAGTATATTCACAGGTCACGGCGCACGACAAGGATTGTACGCCGAAAAAATCGGACATTTGTAAGTATGAGATTGTCACATCGGACGTTGGTTCTGGAAACGACCGCGACGGACCGGAGGGTGAAAAACCAGCTGAGTTGCCCTTTCAGATTGACCCCGAAGGAAATATCCGCAACACTCGGCCACTTTCGTACGAGGAAAGCCATAATTACATCTTTGAGGTGCGTGTCATTGCTATTTACAACAGCATTTTCTTTGCAGCCATGACATTAGTCGGTGATGGTTAGTCTCACAATTACTACATTAGATATAGTAAAATTGATCGAAACAACGTTGACTTAATTGTATTCATTTAATCAATCAATTAAAGGCATATTTTGTCACGTTATGTCTTTAATTAATTAAGTATTCAATTAATATACGGTGTGTTAGAGATAATACTACTCATTAACTGCGAGATGGATTACGCGATTTGCTCATAAGCAAAACAAATGTAACTCAGAAACAATGACTGTCGCTAATATTCTTCTGCTATTTAGGTGGTCGCGTATGATTGCTCGATGAAGCCATCAAAGCCTGTGTCGGTGTCAATCTCCGTCCAGAAAGAATGCCACATGCAATGGACCTCCATCGCTCAACAGGTATGTTTCTGTCTAGCGTCTGAGAAGTTTTTTTTGCCACTCATTAATAGGTGCGCAGCTGCTCAGATTCTCTAGCGTCCTCGTTCGGTTTCCGAAACAATGAAGAACAAACTAGAACGAACCTGAAAGGGGGAAATTGCTAACGGGAAGCTGTACACAAAACCGTAGTATTATAATTGATGCCCCGTTACCAGTGGTAGAAGAGAGAAGGAACCCATTTATAGGAAATTTCTCCTCGCTGCTCGGAGATGATGGTAAAACGTGCCGTCAATGTAGCCGGACCCCTATGCGTTATGTTCAATATATATATACATACACATATGTATATTCCATTCATTACCGAACTAAGCCACTCTACGCCAGTGATGGTGGGATGACTCAGCGTTATGGGACATGTGCAGTAGGAAAATGACAGAAATCATTGCCTTATATCTCAGTTATAATAAAAGTTTGGTAAACTGTTGCGTTAAATCAAAGCCAAAAGGATACTGGATGTTAAAATCCGTCGTGCCATTATGGCCAGTGCAGGCGAACGCGTAAAGTGCTATACGTGCTTCCAAGGGAGTGCTTACTGAGTATCAAAGAACATTGTACTATTATCATAGATGTTATGTTCTGCTATTTTTGTTTACTGTAGAAAAATAGCAGAACTAATAAATAAACTAAAAAATAGAAAAATGGCGGCTGTGTGTGGCGGTTTTTCATACAATACTATTTCCAGATGTATCATACTTAATAATTGGATATTTTAGTTACAGGATGAGACGAAAATCTATTGACAATTTAAAAAAGACCTCACTGTACGTCTTTTATCTCATTGTAAATACATTGTGCTCTTTTGCTACTTAAACAGATGCGAGATAAGAACTTTTCAGACTGTCAAGAAACGTTCGTATCCACCCTATACATATATATCCCTTTGCGACAGCGAGTTGCAGGAGCGTCGTGACCGCAAGAAGAGAAACAGCGCTATACGATAATACCAGCTGCCGCATACAATACAAACGAAGCAGCCAACGAACGAGGATAAACCTACCTTTTGCCAGTGTGCTGTATGGGCCGCTACTTTTTCTATTTTCTAATGTAGATGTAAAAACGACCGCATCGAAAAGTTGAGAAGAGTCCCTTTGCGATGGTGCAGAGGCAGCCGCGGGGTAAAGGCCCAAGGCAATGGAGGTCCGAGAGGCTGATGGCAGTCGAGGCATCGAGTGACAGCATTGGCTACGCTCCCGTTATATCTCTCATTCAGTCTATTCGTACAATCTTTTCTCGGACTGAGCATAACGTTGTGTGCCGTAGTATTAAACCACGTCGCACTGAACGCAGCGAGTCAACGTGAGCCATTATCAACTTATCGGTGCCCGTTTCGTAGCTGTTTGATCGTTAGTAGTTGGCCGCTGTTCGATCGGCCAGCAAAGCAGCGGTAAACCGACAAAGCGGCAAACTGGCGGGCTGAAGAATGCAGCTGGAATTTCGAACATCGGCAAAGCGTACAAGAAAACCACAGGCCTCCCGACGAACGCCACCAAGCACTCAGCTGCCCGTTGCATCATGCAGAACAAGCTCTTATCACGATGCATGGCCCCGTTCTGTTCTCGTCCGCCAAATATTCATCGTTCCTCCTCCTTTGATACTTTGCGAGTCAGCTTAGCAAACAGCAATATAGCATGGAAAAACGACAGCGTTCCCCTCAATCTCCCACACAGACACGCTTGGATCTGATACGGGTCTTGCTCCACTATATATAATAGTGTTCTAAATGTATGCCCCTTGCAATAACCGACCACCTATGTTCGTGTTTTGCTACACGAGTCTTCACAAGAGAGCACAGCTCACGAGGGCTACAAAAATCACATATTTTCATAGATTTTCGCCATTTTTGCAACAGACCTGTTGACAGGGATTTTAGTATGTGCGAATTCTAAGGGGCAGATTTTGCTCAAAGTTTGATTTGGACCGACAGACGCGGTCGATTTACCAAAATAATGGCCCATTAGTACATATTGATCCTTACCATTAAGCTAATGCTAATCGCACTGAAGTACTTTTATTTTAACAAATGTTCATTCACTTTTTTATGCTGAGCCCAATACATTCGTTTTTGCTTTATATGGCGTTTAATTCGATTTCATCTTCAGCTTGGACGCCATGGTCTATGTCCTTCATTCGCAGGACATTTTAGCGTTTATACTGTAGACGTTAATGATTTACTGTAGCGCTTATCTATTATATATATATATGATATCGTCTGATTGGAGCTACTACACTGTCGATGCTCTTTTTTTGTTGTGAACCTTTCGCATTATGCACTACGATACACAAGGAAAGAAGCTGATCTACATAGGCATCGCGTAGTTACTATCCATCCGCCAGATTCAATCGTAAGGCTGGTCGAGAAAAACATCTTTTATCCTTAACGACCTTGTCTCCCGTTTGGCTAAAAGAGGTGACAGTCACACTGCGACAATGAATCGCCCTGATGAAGACTAGTGGTGCGGACGACGAGGATAGCGGCAAGACCAGCAGCATGACCGTCCCGTTAACCGGTTGGGACAAAAAAAACGTTTCGATAGAGCACTTTTCTCCATATCACAATAAGATTATCTGTTTAGGAGATTTTGTTACGCTATCATACTAATAAATCAACCTGCAGGATGTATCGACCCATATTGACTGGATATCAGTTGCCCGCTGATATTTGACAGGGCTTGCTTGGTTTTGTTTAGATTGTACCTCTTTTTCATTTTGGTCTACAGATTTATCGAGTACTGAACTATTTTCGAAAATCAATAGCACACGTACACGAATAGATAAAAAACTTCATCCATAATTCGACATGTATACATCAGTCAGTCGGTAGTTACAGTAAATAAATCATATTTAATTATTTGACGCGAGTCATCGATGTACTGCAATATAATCAAAGCGACAGCTTAGATCATGTGGATGAAGTACATAAGACCGAGGTGTGATGTTCGCCCATAAATTTAAATGCTTTTTATCCCTTCAATATTTTCACTGTCCGTTTTTTTTTTTTATATCCAATTTAAAAAATAAATCAACTGTTCTAATAAATCAACTATCTCGAGGTTAAATTTGTGGGCATTTTATTCCGAATTTTTCGCTAGCCACAAATGCAGCCTAGACAATACTTTTGTGCCGTGTATAACAAGAATCCCATACGGAGAGGATAATGGTTTGTCATGTCACTAAGAAATTATGCCTTGGACATGGAAGACGCTTAATCGTAGTCTATGACAACTTCGAATGACAAAGAACTCACTAATTGGCCGACAAGACGGGCTGATTATTGTCAACCATTTCGGACATATGAGCATCTGTCAAAAATTAGCGTTCAGAAACTGGTCAAAGGGCATAAGAAGACACCGATTTTCATTTTCTCGGTCACAATGATAGATTCTACATGAATTCGCTGTAAATGACGAGAGGTGCTGTTTCTACACCCAATCGAAGCAGACAGAAGATGGCTAGCTGCGGAAGAGATGTTTACACCCACAGTTAACTCAGATCTTCGTCCGCTTAAAGCGCATGGTTTACTTGCAGGTGTGTCTTGTATATCGGGAAAGGCTTGAAAAAATAGGGTCCACTTGCATCAAGTAAATGAGGCAATGCAGCAGAAAATACTTGATGAACAGGACAAGTTTACCGTTTGTAACACCAACGCCAAGTTACAGATGGGAAAGGTTTTCCAGGCTACCTTGTGGGAGTCTAAGTAAAAAGCTGTTTTGCACCCATCGTATTCTCCAGACTCTTTGTTACCATGAGAAGCAACCTCCTATGCTTGGCAAGTGAAATTCGTAACTGTATATTTTACGATGTAGAAGAAGGTCTTCAAAACTGCCTGAACGAATTATTTAACATCAGACCGGATCGTTTAAGACTAAAGAGGGAGGCAGGCAGCCAACATTGATAGCAAATACACGATGCATCCATTAATTTGTTGCCTAATTTCAAGTAAAACACCGCATAGTTGTAAACACAGATATTTTTCTTGGAACAACCTTATAATAATAATAATAAATAGCCGTCTTATCGGAATATTGATCCAGGAAAATTCCCATTTCGCACACTTATGTACACACCTTTAGCCCGCACGAAAACAAGCCCAGATGTTGTCTAATCGCGCAGTTATTACAAATAAAAACGGCAATACACCAGCGTACATGAAAATGATGTACCGCTAGAAATACGTTCGTATATTGCGATGGTGTACATTGGCAGCAAACAAGTTCAAGTGTGCCCTTTTGCTTGACAGCAAATAGCAGAAAGCATGAACCTCGCATTGATAACCAGGCAAAGCTAAGAGAAGGTAACCAATTGCAATGTACGAGAGACGGAAACGGGAAATGCATTAACTATTGCTGGGAAAAGATAGCGATGTCGCCACCAGCGCAGTTGCTACGGCAGCTGTTTGCGCTAGCTGTGGACGATATCCTAGGGTTTTTGGCCCGAAGCCTGATTTCCGACGTCGTGTGACGTTGCCTACAGAACCAGCAATAATTACGGCCGGACGACAACAGGCTGAGACAGGAGCAAGCAGGTAGAGAGCATCGTCACGTAAATGGTGAAAACGAACAGCAAAACAGGACTGGAGTTGAACAGGGAAAAATAAAGGGCGTCAAGCACTGTAAACTACGATCTGTTGAAGTGATCATCGCCCGTATACAATAACAACAGTTATCTTGTTGTCAAGTTGTTACCAACCTTTTAGCACGTGCCGGGAGCTTATAGTTCATTGGGTCCCTCTGGTTATTGACCTGGTTGTCGGTCTTCAATAACAGCACAATGCTATTGAATACTGTCCTAAAAGCGTACGTTCATGCGGCCAGAACTGTTATTTTATTTTCTAGTTTATTGCGAGGGCTACCGTATAAGTTTTACTATTTTTGCTGTACATTGTAGATGGGCTCGCATAATAGGCTTCGTCATATTTGATCTTAGGATATGTTTAATTTTGTAGGAATTGTAGGATTCTCTTTGTATTGTGTCTCAGTTAGATACAGTACTTTAATTTATATTTTCAGTGCTTATGCTCCGTCTACATTGCAGAACAATCATCCCCTTAGCAGGAATTGAGTCGAACGTATTCCCAGTCGCGACACGCAGTCACACACTTGACAATCACGCATGGGTAAAGCCGTAATATAACACGCTAGAACGAATTTGATATGCCTGACTTCATTTTCAAGAGATCTCGTTCTCCCGCGTCTCCTACTGCGTCCCCGTTTCCCCGTTGATTGTGGACTCATGATACAATAGATGACGGAAGCACATTCTCAACACCGCCAGATTCCACCCGATGTTTTATTATTATTGCACCCATTGCTATGCCGCCGCGTCCGTCACACACGTTACTACTTAAGCGACTGGCGCGTAAGCATACGCGGATGAATTATGACAACAGCAGAAGTAGAACGTATATATATATATATATAACAATACCCCAGTTTGCATACTTCCAACTGTAGGCAGCGAGACTTCTATTTAGCCGTTATGCAGCCCCTTGTGATTTCGCCACATTCATGTGCCTCTTAACTATATATATATATATATATATATATATATATATATATATATATATATATATACTGACTCTATGTCTATCTGTCAACCTTCCTAACAGCAACTGGCAAATCTGGTTTTGAGCGAACATAGCCCGTCCTCTTCTAATCGGTATGATTGTTGCGCCTTACGTTTTACCCAGACGAGTGCGTGAACGAATAAGGAACCCTTACCTACCGCCGTGACCAGCCATAGCACCCCAACGTCGCAGTATCCCTACGACCCCTTGCCCAACGTTGCGATTCCACATTACAATATCGCTACAAAGCTATGTAGAGACACTGAAAGAGACATTCAGACATCCGCAGTCACACATTCACCCTCAACTATGGACACTACAGGTGACGGAAGCATGGAACCCAACTGTGCAACGCACTTCTTATGCTGTCTACCGACTATTCTTTGCTGGCCCCGATTTTTTTGTGCTTCACACCCCATCCGCATATTATCAGCCTCACCAGAGCAACTAGCAGATAGCGGCCGAGCCGGCTGTGAATGCCTAGAACGAGAACAGCGAATTATCAGCGGTGACCTTCAGTTGAAGTCTTGCGGCAGTTTCGACAAACCAGCACTCACTTCCTGGTCCGTTGGCTCATTCGCCGCTGGCGCTTACCCACTGACCTGCTGCTTCTTCGTTCTTCTTCTTCTTCTTCTTCTTCCAATATTTCTGCGCGACTATCGTTTCTTCTGTATATCTAGAAGTAACGGGATAAACGTCAAGGCGAAAGGTGGTCGAGCAAACGGTAATACGCTTTCGTTCCGCTCTTTGGTTAGGTTTTACCGATACAATGAGTGCTTACCTCGTTGGTTTGGATGCCTAGCTGGGTGGGTGGGTGACCGGCAGTTGCTTCCGTAATCACAACAGCTGGGACGCAATCACTGAACTCAGTCGAACGGAAGTTCTACGCAGGAGCTTGCTAATTTTAGAAAGGGCGTTAGATGAGCAAATGAGTACTGGGCGGCCGCCACGGAAACGATGGGGCTATAATGCATGCTTGTCTCCCCGTCTTCGCCTATTGCCACTATTATAGATTTTGGATGAATAGAAAATACATTCGTTCCGGCATGAATGGGAGAGAAGTTAGTAAGACGAGTTCGTAGCGGCACTGACGGGTGGGAGCTTAATTACGAGCAGTGAACAAACGAACGAGCGAACGAGAGTAAGGTTGAAAATAAAACAGAGAGAACCGGACAGATTTATAGAAAAAGGGCAGAGTAAGAATATACACTGGATCTCGAGCTTCTGTCGGTGAGCAGCTAGGACTAGGGTCGAATAGACGCAAAAAAATAAGGGAAAAATTAAAAAAAGGCGCGAATGGGAAAAACAAAGACAACTGCGACTATGTCGTAGCGTTTTTCGAACTAATGCAGACGTTCAATCTCATAAGAAGTGGCTCCAAACGTTGATTTTGTTCTCCATCTAGCCTTTTGACGGTGCAGCAGGTCAATGGCTGTGGTGAATTATTTAGTCGGCTTAGGCTGGAACGAAAACGATCTTGAGGATGGAAATGTAATAAATTCATACTGATGTGCATGTGCGCAACATAAACAAGTTGACGATGAACATATTCCCTAGGGTGCACATAAAACTGTGTATCATCTGAGAACCTGAACTTGAGCCAGTGGTGAGTGACATGATGCATTCTCAAAATCTAAAAAGCATTAGCATTACGGAATCCGTTACACATGCACGAGCTGTTTGTTGCGGCTCGGTTCCATTGGCGTTATAATGGATCAACTGCAGGAAATGTTCTAAAAATATGGGGCTTAGAATAATACCTTAATGATAAAATACATCAGTGGCTTTTTTACACCAAACAGGCTGTCCCTTTTATGTTTCGGTTATATTACACTGATGAAAGCATCGTAAGACTACAAGGGAGAAATTTTACATTACCTTGGATTCGCGTACGATCATCACGTTGACATTAACTGTTGCTTTCCTACCCAACACTTGCCTTGATGGCAAGTGCATCTTGATGGATGCATCTGAGGAGTAATTTCTGTCCCAATGAATCTTGCTAGGACGACCGGCAAAACGACCGGTCAGGATTCGGTTTAGAGCGACGCTGAAAAATGCGTCTCGTCGACCAACTAGGGACCAGGCGTTCACCAAACGTGTGTTTATGGATTAATAGGTCAATTAGAGATTCGAGTACTATATTTTTTCCATGCCCTTCGATACACTATTATTTTCTAATTATCTTGGCATATGATGAGTTTCCCTAATTTTACGCGGATCCCCACTTTACGCGAAAAAAGACTTATAAATGAAAAAGCTATTTAGAGATTTTGAAAAGCGGATTCAACTAGATATATTACAACAAGGTTTAGTCCAGAATGTTAGTGAAATGTTACGACCATGGAAAAAAATTGATGTTTATGAAGCCAGGTAATCTTCTTTTAATGATAAAAGTTTTCTAAAATTCTTCCTCTATTTAGATGCATTTAGACCGGCGGAGCTATGCTAATCGATCAATCCTTAGGTTAAAGCGGATACTTCGCCTCTGGTGATAGTAGCAGCTATCTATACTGGGCTAGCAGCTATATATATATATATATATATAGCTATATATATATATATATATAGCAACTAAAAACTACTGTCTTAAACGGAAGATCCAACTTTCGTTCCCTGGGTTGAAGTGAATTTGTACAAATCTTTACGAAGCACAATTTCAGAAAAATGTCTACCATCAAACAATGAGAACGATTAATCAACGTTTAACAAGATGATCGGTACTGTTCTTCAACCGTTACCTAGCTGACTTAAGATCTACATTTTTCTAGATGGGATTTATACGATGCATTTCTAAAGTGGACCACAATCACCCTTTGCGTAGTACGAAAGCAGTTGTTCTTTACAAACGTCTACTAGTTTCTGTCTTCGTTATGGTAGTCATAAAGCGCAGGGAGAAATTTCCGCAAGCATTACGCATACCTATACGTTGATAAATTCAAGGGACGTACATTGTCTTTTTGGATTATCGCAGATCGACTACTCGGCTGGCGGCGGTTCAGTGTCACTCTACGGAAATGCTCAGCTTGATACTTGCCCGTCGGATTGTGAGGTGAGCTTGAACAGTGAGAAAACCAAATAGGCCAACTTTTGCTTTACGTAGACGAACTTGCTAATTGCAAATAGCAAACAATACACCACAGACGCTCTTGATTTTATTAGAGCTGAAATGTTTCAGTAGCAATGTTGCCGAAAGAGACTATACACGCTGCATGCGACGCGGCAGCCCAACCAGTTACAAGATAATAATAGTTATTTAATAAAATATTAGCACAATGCCACATCCATACGAAACTTCAAGGTGCTCACCACAAAACCTAGAAGGATTACGTTGAAAATCCGAAATCCTTTAACTTTTCACATGAAGATTCTGCACATCAGCCCATAATCTCCATTTTGAGCCAGTTATATTTGATAGTAGATGGGATTACTTACATGTGTATTATCGTTTGCACATTTTCCTCATAGGTTGACGAGATCTACGCCAAGATTCAGCTCGACACGAAGCACATTGGCAAAGGATGCGATCGCGATACGTATTCGGTTCGAAGTCAAAGGAAGCTCTGCAACGCTGGAAGTAACGCCATTAACAATGGTAAAACTATGATCTATCGCGTAGACGGACGATGAGCAAAACCTGGCCAGAGCTCACAGTCTGTTGTAAGACGTTCCTTCTCATTCTGTAAGACCTAAATGTAAATGTCATTCATGCCGCCTATTTGTTCAGAAACACCTATACACAAGCATTGCGAAGCAGAATAAGCAGGCTATCAGCCTATTAAACTTCCTGACCTAATTATACGTTCCGAGTGTTAAATTCGGTATTCCATTTAAACGTTGACTGCAGACAGCGTGTTCGAGTCGAAATGAAGTCGGTCTATGCCAGGTTTAAGCTTCTCAACTAGTATATATATATATATAGTACTCGACCAAACCTGAAACATGACAAGCGAAAATGGAAGTAGATAATGCTGAAGAAAAAAAAAAAAGTACAGTTCTCGTTTTCTACGAATTCATGGCAGTTCGCTTACTCTCAAGTTCAAAAGCCGTATCTTCCTTTTCTTTCTTATTTGCGACTCTTACAGAAGGTACCCTAACTACACTGTTGGGTGTTGACCAGGCGTCGCCGTCCAGCTCGAAGTCGGGCGCGTCGCGGGCTCCGACTCAAGATCGCGGCAATGAGAACTCGGCTATCTACTTCTTCGATGGAAAAACTAACGCCTTGCTGTTACCAAGAGACACCTTCCATCAGACCGACACAATGGCCGTTCAGTTCTGGATGAAACACGAACAGGTACGTTCAATAAACGTATTGCGTGCTTCCCTAGTTTATTCTAAACTAGCATGGCCTATAGTAGACTTCTGTTGTGCAAATAACTAACTCAATATACTGTTTTAATACATACAGCTTTAACATGTATATTGCTTTCTCGGTCTCGAAATCGGTCTTTTCAACTTGCTTGCAATTACCATCCACTTACATTTTGGTCCCATTTCAGAATCTGGACAAAAAAGCGAAGGAACATGTAGTATGCACTTCCGATTCTCATAAGATGAATCGTCACCACTTCTCGGTGTTCCTCCATAACTGCCATCTCGTCTTGCTCGTTCGCAAGCACAACTCTAATTATCACAAACTTTTTCCGGCCGAGTTCAGGTAAAAGCACACCGTCCTTGTTTTTTGTTCATGCGAATACTCACAGAAAGGAGGAAATGATCTTTTTATAGTTTGAAAAATACAAATTTCCAATAGCCCTCCGAAAATAAACTTTGAAATACATTCGTTTTCGACATTTGTCACACATTCTTGCTCGTCGATGGACAGATGGCGCGTGTCGGAAGTATGCGACTTTGAGTGGCATCACTACACGATCAATCTTGCGGCCAATGGAGGCGACCATCAGGCAACTCTTTTCATTGATGGACGTCCTGCTGAACAGGTGAATGCGGTAGCCTACTCTTGACAGCTGTTAACTATATTCTGATTAGTTTTATAGTTTGAGTCGGCCGCCTCCAAAACTAACTGAATGATTGAGGCTGGGGGATAAGCAATTGCTAGCTCGCATATTTCTTTTGCCCTCTATAGGCCGCCGACATTGTCGATGACTGGCCGATTCACCGCAACATTCACGTAGGAAATGAGACTACGACGGTGGTAGGGGCTTGCTGGCAAGCAAAGCAATCTCATATGGCCATGCACTTTAAAGGGTATGTGCTCACACAGTTATTAACACATACATAACATAAATATTCAAAGTGCTTTATCATCTTATATATATTGTACGACTGTGAAAAAAAGGTGCCCACATCTCTGTTTACGATCGTGTGACAGAACTCTCTACAGGGCGGGTTCATTTAGTTTCTTTCGAACACGACCGGATAGACCTATCTAACGGTGACCACTGTTCCGTACTTTTTATCATTGATCAATGCTACTAATTATAGCTACCTGTCGGATCTTGTCATCCTTAATAATGCTACCGAGCCTGAACCGGTATTGAAATGCATGTACCACTGTAAGGAAAGCCTTGTTCGCACTAACACCGCTGGCAGTGGATTTAGCGATGGGAACACGAACGACTCTAACAACGGGCTTGTGAGTGGCGGCTCCGAAAGCGAAGAGGCCCTTTCCGATGTTGAGGCACTCTCAGGAGATTCAGTTGAGTCCATTGAGAGGCAGATTTCTCGTCTTGCGTACAGAAACTCACGAAGACAGCCGACGCCTGGAAACCGTCTTGTTCAGCTTAACACACATGTCAAGTAAGTAGCCTTTGGAAAAAAAATCATATATATATACACTGCTATAGGCACATGACAGGGAGAAATCACAGCGGATCTTATCAACATCCAGGTGTACAAACGGACAAAGCAAACGCCTGCCAATGGTCGAAACAATCATCGCTGTAAAGGGTTCTGACAGTGGTCAGTTTGGGGACAGTGCTGAACAAACTGCCCGGGTCTCTATTTCTAGCGAAGAGCACAACATTGCTCGGGAGTATGGCCCTATTAAGGAAGGCGTCGACATATTCGAGACGATCAACATTAAGGTTCGTAAAACGGGACTCTTGTTTTTGTACAAAGGAACTATTTAGTTAGTTTCAAAGTAAGTGTATATTAGATAGGTGATCAATGTACACCGTGCCTTGTTTATCTGAAGAAGTAAGCAACTTAATTCGAATAAATTGTGTCTCTCTCTCTCTGAGCCGTGGGAGCTATTACCGCCATCGAATATTGCAAGTATCTTATAAGCATTCCAATGCAAATCTTAACTGAACACTCAGCCTGTAAGCTGCTAAACAGTCGATTAATGCTCTAACTTCTGCTACTTCGCACACGTGTAACCTCGCTATGGATTTAGGATCGTTAGTCCTATAACCTATTTGAAAAGTGCAGCTGTGCATTAATTGATGAATGTTTTATGCTTCTAGGTACAGCAGCCTGGTGAGAATATAGATTCATGTACGATTCAGGTCTTCCCCGCCCTGAACCCCGACCACGAAACTCTTCAGGTATGTGGCTCTGATGAGTGTGATGAAACTGTTGTTGTTGTTGTTGTTTAAATTTGATAGGGCCAACGTAATGTACACAAAAAGTCTTGTTAAATTACCATTTAGGCAACTAGATTGCCATCATCAAATAGTACCTTTCGCGTTCATTTTTGTCTATTGAATAGGTGCCTGAGTATGTTCTCGACAAGATGGGTCTGTCCATGGACGATTCATCGACTTCAACCAGCAGTGGACAAAATGGCCAGAGCGGTGGGGCAGCGCATCAAGAGAACCAGCAGATCCGCCTCAGAGGGCCAGCACCGGCAGAGAACTTCCAGAAGGTAGACTTTTTTTGTCAGTCATTTCGTGTGATTTTTCGGCTATTTCCGGACTAAATACGGTACCAACATGGCATACCAATACTAATAACATTCTATAATTTAAATTTAACTAATTTACCTGATGATGCGTCTATATCGTTGTGATTCAGGTGATATCCGGTATCTCATACTTGAACAAGAAGCCTGCCTACTACCTGAACCGAGCCTTCAAACTTCAATGTTATGAAATGGCTAATCGGTAAGATTTAGCTTTCTCTAAAACGCACAATAAAAATATCTATGAATTATCGAAAAAAAAAAAATATGTTCTATTTCCTAGGATGCAAGCAGGCAGTTACAAATTAATTGATTTCATCCCTATTAACAGGTACTCGTTCAAGAGAGCTACTTCGAACCAATAAATCGCCTGAGCTTATTTAATGTTTACCAACTTTTCAGGTTTGCATCAAACGAGTACATTCAAACGCTTACAGTGATTCATCCTTCCGCTATTATCTCGGCATCGTCAAGCGGTAACCACGGAAATAACAACCATGGTAGCAGCGCTAGCCCAGTCGCCGCTAAGCTTATGCAAGACAAACAATCGGCCCATACCAATGGCGGCAACAACAAACATCACGCTGCACAGCATCTACGAAACAATGGAAACAAACATTCTAATTCATCGTCTGTCGGTAAGTTTTGAAAGTATTACATACTTGATTGTTAAAAAAAAAATACAGTTTGTCTTAATGTCATTGATGTGGCAAAACTTCACCGCGCTGTGAAAATATCATTGATGCTAATGTATTTACTTACTGTCTTGAAAGTCAGCTGACAGTGTCTAATTCGTAGAAGAAACAATTTTTTTTTTTAATAAAAATAAAAATAGTGCCATCAAAAAAGCGGCGCTCTGTGCACCGAACTGTTTCTGTTTATTTATTTGTACTACTGTTTCAGGCATTGCTGGCGTAGTTGTAGCCGGGTTGATCGTTACCGTTCTCGTAATGCTCGCCGTTGTGCGTCGCCACCGTCGCGAACGGTCGTCCTCTGCGTCGAATGGACAGAACGGCGGCCAGCTCGCTTGGGACGACTCAGCGCTCACCATCACAGTTAACCCGCTCAGTTCGGAAGACTGGGATCCGCATAGTTGCCATGGTAATGGCGGGCTGGCGAACGGATGTCATGGAAACATAGCTTCGCACGACAACATGGCCGACATGATGGCAATAGACGACTCCAGCGGCGATTCAAGTTGTGCCGACAGCGATGATAGCGACGATGAAGGTGCGTCGCCAGGCACTGGCAACGGTGGAAGCCACAAACACCTTGTCAACTAGACTCGTCGCAGCACACACACATACATGCCAGCTAGCTTTGGCCACCATCTAAACCTAATGTTGCCATAGCCTTGTCAGAAATTGCCATCATCCACAGAGACGTAGCTAAGTGTGGATGTAATCGACAACTGTTACAAAGCTGGTTCAAATCACAGTATGAAAAATAGAGAAGACGACTAAATAAACTTAGCTCTGGCGATATTAGCGGCCTTCCAATGGAGTGCAAATTATTAATTGAAGTGGTTTCCTTTCAGTATATAAAATATCAAAAGCAGATGGGAAATAAGGGCCACACTATTCTATAAATAAAACTTATATACCATAACCACCAAGCTACTCGACCATAAAAACAGTTTATTCACAGCATAAATGTAAACCAGATGGCATCCAGCAAGCGAAAAAAGTATGAGAGCAAAACAAAATTTGCGACCGTGGAAAATTCAACCATCGCACTAAAACTGGTTAGGGCATTTGATGTCACCTGTGTCTGTCTATATTCATGGCGTTCCATCCAATAAAGGGAGTCTTCTACTACAATATAATACAACAATAATACCATTGTAATTACAACCGTGTGGGGAGTATAGAGCTTACCTAAGTAAACTGATGATGAAGCTAAAGTAAAAGCTAAAAAAGCTTAGACAGAAAGCTTACTCTAGCCACCGTATCATCCATTAAACACCCAGCAGTGCGCGTGGCACTAGGGATGGTTCTGCGGCTATGTACTGTATCATACTAACAATGCTGGTATACTTAAAAGATGAAGATATATAATGATGACGGTGATGATAACATAATAAGGATACATATATGTAGGTATATGCTCTGATTATTGCGATTGCTCGTCCACTATTGATCGCCATAATACGAATTGTTTGTCTCCTTGGGCGTTCGGTTTAGCGAGTTGATTTCTTCGGTGTTCGTGCACGCCAACGCGATATTTTTTGGTTTACCCATTTCGTAATGATATTAGTTGGCCGTTACCGTATCGTCTGCTAGTAGAAAGAACCAAGTCAACAGCACGAAACATGCAACATCATCGAGTAAAGATTTATTGCCAGCTGCTGCCGAAAGTGCGAGCATGTTCGTTCAGCAGACCGTCGGCAGTTATGTTTACTAACCTGCGGTTCGGTTGTTTCGGTTGTGGCGCTGCTGCTTTATTAAAATGTAAAGTGCCACTGAACAAGTCAGTTGTATTGTGGGCGGCCGATGGATTTACTACTACTACTACTACTACTCTTGTCTATATACATATGTACACCTAGGTACCGGGAACATTTCAAATATGAGCGATAAAAAGAAAAACGGCCTGCGTCGTCTGCTGCAGACTAGGCCGTCATTGTCATGTTGTCTGCTAGGAAATTGTCGCCAAATACAATTAAGTCCACGCTGTGCGTGGTTGCACGCCGAAAGATCATGCAAAGATGTTCTTACCTTTCTCGGTGCCATGGCCTCGTCAAGGGTACTCACCGAGAGAAGAAAACTAAAAACAAGTGTTCATAATGTCAAAGCGATGTACCACGTGTTACCTGAGTTACAAACCATTTACCTGTGTTAAGAAATACTATAGTGGTTAGTACTGCTATTAGTATTATATTATTATTACTACTCTTAGCCAGTCATGTACACCTATCTCCCAGCAACATTCAAACGCCCGCTGACCGTACACTCCATTCCGTTTAACGTTCCCTTAATATCTGACAATTTTCCCGATGAAACAATACAATAGGAGAATTACGATAGCTAACAATACCAGATGCTACACGCAAGACATGTACGCGTTGAGAGTAACACAAACCCGGCAATACTTGAAATGGGCACCAAAAACCACGACGAAAATCGTCGACCAGCCTTAGCGTAGCAAAAAAAAAAATGACGGTTAGTGTTTTTGCCAGGTAGAACGGTCGACACCTTCGGCGCGATGAAGTCGTCATCAATGAGTCTCGATAAATATGGTCCGGCCCATGATTAAGCTCGTATTATCTAACGACTTAGTGGCCGGTGCAGAACTCCAATACGTAATATCTTTCTTGCAAAGCATTGTTGTTCTAATAACACACGCAAGCGCATCCCGCAAAGAACCATCTATATATATTGGTTATTACGGCTAATGACTAAAACAAATGATCGTTTGCTTTGACTTCGTACGAAAGCGTTACCTATCATGTATTTCGATAACGAGTCGCTGAACGATGCGAAGTCCACCGTATGGCTGGCGGTATATAAAGGCAACAAATGCTTCTCGAAGCTGTTTCGTTCGCAACATCCTAGGAAAGAGCTAGAGCAAAGACGTGAGAATCTCAAGCATACCTAACAATGGTGATGCTAATTCAAGATACTATTATCAGTGACGATAATTACATCAATAATAATGTTATTGATGGCACAAGTAATGAATGTCATCCTGTACGAATATATCATCATGGGGGGTTTAGTTTATTTTTATAGATAGCCATAGGTGTAACAGTAACTATTAACAGCGAATGTTACACTTACACGGCATGTTACAATTACGCGCCGTTCTTATACTACTAATGCGCAAAAGAAGCGTCAAACGTGAAATATGTTATTAGCATTATGGTAATAATTATGAGTGGAATAGCTGATTATTTATAAAGGAAACACAAAATTAAATCTCCATGGTATTATCGTTGTACTTACGTAATTAGAATTCAAATAATAGCTTCCTTGCAGAAATTCGACGCAGCCTTACCTTGCTCTTAATATAGCGAGACACCGGTCAGAACAATGATAGTTCATATACCCATACAGACATATGCACAACGTACTGATGGGCTCCTCATAAGCAAACAGCCTAATCAAAAAGAGCTGCTAGCCTAAAATTTATGCCTCACAAACAACCAACTGATGAACCGAAGGGCGATTCTAGTAGAGGCTTGAAACAGCTAGACAGGCGAATATTCAAGGGATATTCGTGCATGCGGTGAAAAGCGGACACAAGGACTGATTGGCTATTGACTCTATACCAAGTGCAATGAATGCCGATTTTCTTTGTCCCACCTATGTAACGAAAATAGTGATTATATATATATATATATATATATATATATATATATATATATATATACAAAAAAAGTGTAGGTAACAAAACTATACGGCAGAGGTGGGTGGACCAGAGGTCAATTTCGAACAGAGAAATGTGTGTGTTTTAGTTAGGTATTAAAGTAAATTAGGTAAAAGTAATACTGCACTAAGGCCACAACTCCAGCAGACGAGACCAGAACTGGGGAAAAATAAGGAGTCGGAGCAAATAAGGTCTATTATAAAACAGAAGCGGTAAAAGCCATGATTTCATTCCAACCACTAATAATTAGACCCTCCTTTATCCTATTATGGACGAAGGACTTCTCTATAATTCCATTCAATTTCCTCACCATCGGCGCCGATTATTACATGCGAATGAACTGCACACAGTCGAATCTCGTCTCGATGATACCGCTGGCTTCGGGGTCGTTATCTCTATAGAAAAAGAAACAGAAAAGATTAACAAGCACACTCTACTGAATAATATAAATACTACTCATAAACCAACGATATTGATAAAAACGATAACGATAATACTAATAATGATACAATGATAATATTACGATGATGAGATGAAAAATAGTAAACAATTACATATCATTTTTATTTAACATACGCATCGGTGTGACAACTGCGAAACCACGTTATGATCATGTGTCTGAAACGAACACCTCTATTTTAATTATTACACCAATGATAGGCGCGCAATACCGATAGAATTACTAGGCAGAGCACGATGCATGAGAAAATCATCAGTGACAACAACAACAACAGGAACAGTAATATTAAAACCACCAACAATGTCAAGGGCATACCTGAATGCAGACGACCCTACATCTGCAGACGAACTTGAGTATAACAGGTGAGAAACGAAAGATAACAAAAACAAACGCTAGCAGACGACGCTAATTAACGGTACTATCTTGCCATTAATCACATAATCGTCGCAAAAAATTCATTAGCAACTGAACTGATGATAATGCCTGTATCGTATGACCAGCTCTCAAAGATGGTTTTACCTTACTCCCCACGTTTTCGGCGTTTATCATTTTAGGCCATCACCATTATTACCACTTCTTACTAGTCCAATAGTACGGCGAGTTCGATCTATGAGAAATTTTCAACAGGATCCTTGCTTCGTTTCAGTGCATCATACTGCAATTCTTATTCTGGAGACTATAAATTTTATTCTGTTGACGCAATCAGTCTAAGCAGAAAGTGACTATGGACTAGGAGCCTATCTCTCAGGCGTATACATACTTCGCCACATTGCCGGCTCTCTAAAACAAGGATGAAAACAAATATCTAGTTAATTTTTGACCAAACACTTCGAATTGCGGAACAAAGCATGGGCAAAATATCTATACAGTAGAATTCGGTGAACTTTGATTGAACATCTTGCGTAAATCGGCGATCCTGGCTCACAAGTAGATACACATTTTACACGCCAGACACGCAGTCACCCGTACACTATCAACCAACAACAAACTAGGAGTGCAACTTAACAACAATAAAAACAACAAGATAAAAATCTGCTCACCGTGCAAGCTCGTTACGACGAAAGAATATGCGATATTGGTATTTTGTACGCTGCCCATTCGAATTGAAATCGCGAAAAGAATCAAGCAATATGATTTCAGCGATCGGGTGGCTTGATATCGGTCGATATTGGATGACGCAGCGGCAGTGCTTTTTGAAAAAACAAAAGAACATTTATCAGCCCGGACAGTGGCACCCGCTCGTTTTCTTTTCATACCAAGAATACTGAAAAAAATGGTAGTCGCATTACTTATAGATATCTAAACGCCTCTAAGCATGCGTTCTCATAGATACTTGATAAAAATGAAGAAATATGAGATAAATAACGAAGAGCCGATAATAATAATAATAATATAAATATAATTATAATAATAACAACGTGGATCAAAAGGAAAGCAGCAAAAAGGCGCCGCGATGGAAAAGTTAAAAAGAGTAGTCGATATGACAAAGAAAGGATATGATGAAGAAAATGATTAAGTAAACCTAATTGACAAGATGCTAAAAAATATCAATGGCAAAGAACCAACAACCCTATTCGATCGTAATGGTATTAATAATAAGAGTTTGTGTGGAACTGATGACGATAACTATACTGATAATAATATTAATAGTAATAATGATAAATAAAATCATTCGTTGTAAACAAATATTCTGAGTTCCCTCAATGAAAACATAGATTTGCTGTCAAATTGTTGTTTCTAAAAAAAAAAAAAACTTCCAGTTACGAGAGCATAATACACGGCGTTCGAGTAGGTACAACTGTCAATAACTAACTAAAATTTTTACTTGCATTGGAATACTCCGATTAAGAAATGCTTGGCTTCTTTTGTGATAATATTAGAGTTTTCTAATGTAATTTCTAATTATTGTAAATGTGGTCTTATATTACCTATACCCAAATTAAAATACCCATATTATATATTTATGCGAAAATTTTTTTAGCGTATAGTATAGGATGTACTTGATATTAAAGGACAATTATACATACAGTTAAAATACTTGGGCTCTGAAACATCTTCAACATTGGTTGTCAGTATTTTATAT